TAATTCAAATAAAATAAAATAAAAATTATTAAAATTAAAATATCATATTTTAAAATTAGAAAAATGTGAAATACATTAGATATATTTTTCAACTGATCTACATGTTACAAACAAATTAAATTAACCATGTAATATAAATATGATGTAACTATTTTGTTTTGGGAAGAATGATGTAACTATTTTTACATAATAAAATACAAATTATTGAACTTATTACATTTACACCCAAACACCATAGTCAATTCATACCATCTCCAATATTTTCGCCTAAGGTCCGTTTAGAAGGTAGGAAAATAACTTATAGAAAATGAGTCATTTTTTAGAAAACATTTTCCTTTCAGTGTTTGGTTGCATTCTGGAAAATTGTCTTGGTGTGTTTGGTTCATTTTCTAAAAAATGAGTAGAATTGTATAATTAAACATTTTAATTATTTTATTTAGAATAATACAACATGTATAATAATATATAATAATATAATAACAATTTTAAATATAATTAAAAAATAACTAATAAGATATCAAAATAACTCACCAAAGTCTTGTAATTCAAAACAACAACAACAACAACAATAATAATAATAATAATAATAAGTGGTATAATAGTAGTGGTATGGTGGTGGTGGTGGTGATGGTGGTGGTGGTGGTGTAGTGGTAGTGGATGTAGTGTTGGTATTTGTTATATAATAATAATAATAATAATAATAATAATAATAATAATAAGTGGTGGTGGTATGGTGGTGGTGATGGTGGTAGTGAGGTGTGGTGGTATGATGTTGATGGTGGTAGTGGTGGTGGTGTGGTGGCGGTGATTGTAGTGGTATGGTGGTGGTGGTGGTGGCGGCGGTGGTAGTGTGATCTTGTTTGTGGTGGTGGTGGTGGTAGTGGTAGTGGTGTGATGTTGGTGTAAAGGTTGGAAAATGATTTTCCAAAAAAAAAAAAAGAAAAAAGGATGAAGTTATTTTCCTCCAAAACAAGCTTATTTTTCAAAGTCAACAAAAAATGATTTCCGTTGACTTGATTTTCCAGGCACATCCAAACACTGGAAACCTGTAAAATGATTTTCAGAAATCATTTTCCAGGTTTCCAACACTTACTTCTTTCCCTTTTTCAAGGTCACATATATATTAGAATAATTTAAGTTATAAATAAAATTACCAAAATAATATTAGAGAACTCGTTTTACCTGTCTTGTTTATTATTTATTGGTCAAATTAACTATTTATTCTTTATTTATTTTCTTATTAGTTTTAAATTATTTTTAAATTTAATTTTTGTGTTCCATAGTACTTTTAATATAATTTCTAACTATATATTTTAATACTAATAATAAACTTAATTTATAAAAATTAAATTTAAAATATATTCAGTCAAGTCTCGTTAATTGAACTAGACACATAAAATGAGATATAGAGAGAGTATAAGTTTGAACCTTAACTTAAAGATTTTTTTTTTATCACTTATGTTTTAGAAACGAGTAGAGAAGATAAATTGCATAATGTGAATCAATTGGCTTACACACCTCAAATGAAATGCTTATTAGGTGGACCATGCGTATGATAAGGTACATTATTTTCTATGCATATGATACATTATTTTTTATACATATGGTATAGTATTTTTTATACATAATGTTCATTATTTGAATGTGTACAAAATAGTATAAAAATAAATTGAGGGTTCATTATTTATATGTATAACAACATAAGGTTTATTATTTGTGTACATAAGGTTCATTATTTGTGCATATACAAACTAATTAAATGTTTATTATTTAGACGTGTATATTCTAGGCTCATTTATATTGTACATGAACTTCATTATTTGTAGGATGTAATTGGACTTATTTAGTACACCCATCCCCTTTACTTAGAAATATAATATTTAATAAAGGGAAAATGGCACTTTTTCCCCCTATGTTATATGCTTATAGCACTTTTCCCCCCTGAGTTATTCATGCATCCACATTTGCCCCCTCAATTATTATAAAAGTGACAGTTTTTCCCCCTGATAATATTAAATAGACATTTTTACCCTTAAAATACATATTTTATTTATTTCTCTTGTTCAACAAATTATTGTTTATACGTAGGGATGGCCACGGATCGGTTTGAACTGAACCGAACACTATAGCAATCAAATAAAAAAAAAATTCGGTTATGATTCATAACATAACCCAATATTTGGGTTCCGTTTATTAAAATTGTGAAGTGGAAAAAAAATAGATTCTGAACCGTGAACCAGAGGTTCAAATCGGAACAACTACTAGCAATAGCTTAAAATTAGAATTATAATATTTGTAAATAGTGTATGTTTTTTTCGCATTTATATTGACTCTCACATATAAGTATATATAATCGTGATTTGGTTTTTAGTTTGAATCGTTGTTTCACAATTTCGGATCCAATTTGAACTGTTGGTTCAAACTTTATTTTAAAATTTTATTTTTTTATTTTTAAAGTATTCTAAATTCAACAATTAATGTATTTTATTTTTTAAAAATTGTGGTTATAATTTGTTGGAGAAGTAAAATAAAGGAAATATTTATTTTAAGGGTAAATATGTCCATTTAATATATCAGGGGGGAAAATTGCCACTTAAATAATATAGGGGAAAAAAATGCTATAAGTATATAACACAGGGGGAAAAAGTGCCATTTTCCCTTTAATAAATTAAGGTAATTATTTGTATGAATAAAGTAACTTTGTCCCCCAAATGCTTAGAGCAATCTTATTAATAGATTTTTTGGTGTGTGTGGGGAGGGGGGAGGGGGGGGGGGGATTGTTTCTCAGAAGAAAAAACTAGCATGTGATTTTTCAACAGATAAAGAATGAGATTTTTTCATGATTTTTTCTTGCAAATACAAAAAATTGGTGGAGTCTACTTAATGAGGAAAAGAGATAAAGCACCCGTACAACATGCACGTGTTGGAAAATGCTGTGCCCAACTGGGCGCGTACGCGTAGTGAAACTTTTTTATAATTTTATTTTTATTTTGTACTTTTTTTTGTCAAAATTTATTTTTCCTTTCTCGTTTTTTTTTTCTTCCTTTTTCCTCATATCTCTTCTCCCTCTCTCCTGCATGAAACAAAAAAATTATCAAAAAATTCACACCGATGAAATTACTCTTATACACTTAAATATTTTATTAGAACATCATCATTTGTTGTAATTTTTGAGAAGTTTTTACAGCTGTGACTGAAAAGAAAAAATGAGACGGGAAAAAAGAAAAGAAAAAAACAAAATCAAAAAGAAAAAAATACAGATTTACGGGTCCAATCTGGCACGTGCAGTGGACGTGCCAGACTGGGCACGACAGTTGCGCCTCACGCATTGCGAGGCTGGCTGACTTCACTGTCTAACATTTAATATTTACAGGAGAATCTCATGTCTTCTCTCTCTTCACTCTCTTTCCTCCATATGGATCTCCAAACCTGCAAAAATCATTGAAAAGCTACTATGGTTCTGTTTGGCAAACCTAACTGAAAAGCTATAAGCTAGGAGTTGAAAGCTGAAAAGCTATAAGCTTGGAGCTGAAAACTGAAGAGCTGTTATGATTGAAAGTGTTTGGTAAAATTAGCTTTTTGATAAACGGATGAATGTAAAAAGACTAAAAAGGACATCTTCATAAAATTTAAATTAGTTTGTTTACATATTAAAATTTAGCATTTTGTCTTTTAAAAAGAATTAACATTTTGAAATAAAACTATTAGCATTATCATGATCTAGCATCTCATAATGAAGTAGCAATATTGTTGCAAATCTCATAATAATAATAATAATAATAATAATAATAATAATAATAATAATAATAATAATAATAATAATAATAATAATATTTGGGTGAAAGTTGCGAACAAAGGAGAAGAGAAAATGATTTAAATTGGGACGAGTAAATTATGTCATTTCTTTAAAATAATAAGAATAAAGATGGAAAAATAGTTAGGAAGTTAGGAGCTTATTTTGAAACGCTACCTAAGATCGCGTTCCAAAATAAGCTTTTATTTTAAGTTAGGAGCTTAGTTTGGGAACATTACCAAATAAAGTTTATAGCTTATTAGTATCTTAAAATAAGCTATAAGCTCTGCCAAACAGAGATAGAGATACCATATGAATAAACTCATACACCATTATATTTATTTAGAGAAAATTACCGATTTGGTCCCTCGACTATGAGGATTTCACCAATTTGGTCCTCGACTATCAAAATTACTCAATTTGGTCCCCGACTATGACATTTTTACCTGATTTGGTCCTAAATGTTATTTGCAGGTCAAACCTAAAAGGTAATTTTGGGATTTAAAAAAAGCTAAGTATCTTCCTTCTTCTTCCCTAAATATAAGTCGTTTGTTTTATATAGATATGTTATTTGTTTTCGATAGCAGTCGCAACTTCAATATGCAACCAAAGTGCAGTGAATCATCTTCATCCAACTATAAGAATCGAATGATGTTCGAAAATGGAGATGCTTATAGCTGGATGAAAATGATGTTGGTACAAGGCATCAAATTTTTGAACATCATTCGATTATTATAGGTAGATGAAGATGATTCACGGCACTTTGGTTGCATATTGAAGTTGCGACTGCTATCGAAAACAAATAACCTATCTATATAAAACAAACGACTTAGATTTAGGGAAGAAGAAGGAAGATACCTTTTTAAAATTCCAAAATTTCCCTTTAGGTTTGACCTGCAAATAACACGTAGGACCAAATCAGGTAAAAATGTCATAGTCGAGGACCAAATTGAGTAATTTTAGTAGTCGAGGACCAAATTGGTAAAATTCTCATAGTCAAGGGACCAAATCGGTAATTTTCTCTATTTATTTATTTTGAGAAAAAATTATTTTTTCTATCATAATTTGTAATAATCATACGGACAGAGATTTTTTTCTAGAGAACATGCGACGCCACTTTCTCTTTCCACGTCCTCTCACAGTCTTTCCGTTACTAGTAGTCTTCACTCTTCAGCCTATAAATACAAATATTGTGAGTAGAGTAGTCATACCATTTTCTTCGCTTGTATTCCTTGTCCGGATTATACTCCATTTTCGTCGAGATTACGATCACAAAAATGTCAGGCCGTACGGGCGGCGGTGGAGGAGACGGCCGAGGACGGTCGCAACGCGGTGGTGGTCCCGGCGGTAGGGGCGGTGGGCGTGGCGGCGGCGGTCGTGGTGGTGGTCCCGGCGGTAGAGGCGGTGATCGTGGTGGTGGTGTTGCCGGCCATGAGGGAACCGGCGGTAGGGGACGCGGTGGTGGTCCCTCACCGGCTTACAGTGTGGGATCACCATTTCCCCAGATTCCCGCCACCATTACGGCTCAGTCTCTGAGCTCCGATATGGAACAAAAACTCACGATTCGACCGTCTGAAGTCGGGTCATCTTCGTCCAAACAGCCGGAAGTCGAGTCTCCGGTGCTCCCTCCGGCGTCGACAAAGGCTATTCGTTTTCCAGCTCGGCCGGGGTGTGGGTCGATAGGTCAGAAATGCGTCGTACGAGCTAATCACTTTTTGGTTCAGATTGCTGAACGAGATTTACATCACTACGATGTGAGTGTATTTTGTTAAGTGCATCCTATATTTTCTATGCCGTTGCTTCTATCTTTGATTTATATGGATTTACACTATCTCTCTTGCATTTTTGTGCTGAATTTGAGCATTTACAATGGTTTTGTGTGTGATTGTGATTTGTGGATACCTAGATTTTAGGTTTTAGAGTTCAGAAAATAATGTATGATATCATGTTCAGAAATAATGGGTTATATACATATTTCTGAATAGGATTCTCTGAAAGTTTTTAAGTTTTTATCATTGTTCATGATTTTTTTTTTTTCAGATCTTACTTGTGTTTCTTATACAGTTCAATTTGAAAACCCAAAGCCAAAAAGTTTTATGATAATGATAGCACTTGGCTCTCAAACATTTGGTTGAGGGCTTTATATTTTGCTTCAATGTTGTGTTCTGTTATTCAAAATCCCTTCTGATTGACATGTGCAATACACTTCTGTAGGTGAGCATTACTCCTGAGGTTACATCAAAGAAAGTTTGCAGGCTGATTATCAGCCAATTAGTTACAAATTACAAAGGGTCCTACTTAGGCAATAGGATGCTTGCTTATGATGGAGGCAAGAGTGCTTATACTGCAGGGGAATTGCCTTTTGTCTATAAAGATTTTGTTGTGAAGTTAGCCGATGAGGATGGGGGTTCAAGGTAATTTTCATTAATTTTTTTTTATGTTAATGTTTTCTTATAATTCCTTAGTGTTCACCCTATTTCATGTTGCTTGTGTTATGTAGGCGGCGAGAAAGAGAATTTAAAGTGTCAATCAAATTTGCTGCCAAACATAGTCTTTATCATCTTCAACAATTCTTGCAACGCAAGCAGCATGATTCGCCACAAGAAACCATACAAGTTCTTGATGTGGCTTTGAGGGCAAAACTATCATCCAAGTAACACATCTATTCTAGATTTTTTTTTTTTTTTTAATTTTTTTTTTTTAAATTTGGTTTTGAGATTCTGTTCTACTTATAATCTAGTTTATAATTAAGCTGGTGTGTACAAGTAGAGTATAATGTGTGCAATACTCATCTTTTTCCATTATAGATATGAAGTTGTGGGGAGATCATTTTTCTCACATGAGTTTGAAGAGGGACACCTAGGTGATGGTTTGGATTACTGGAAAGGATTTTATCAGAGCCTTCGGCCATGTCAAATGGGGCTATCTTTGAATATAGGTATGCAACTTACAAGAAATGGGGTTGGATACTCATATCACACATTACACTGTACTTAATTATCTTGAATGATGTGTAATTACCTCTAATTGTCTGAAATTCTAATGCTGCAGATGTGTCTGCCAGAGCATTTTATGAACCCATTTTTGTTTCTGAGTATGTGAAGAAGTTTGTTAGAGATTTGAGTAGGCCTTTAACAGATCAAGATCGTTTAAAGGTATGGTATTTTAAGTTTAAATACACAGTTTGAATTTTGCGAAACTTTAATCTTCAATCTTGGTATAAAGGTATTGTAAGTTTGCCACTCATGCAGCTCCTTCAAAGGTTGTAGTAGTTCAATGTTTAGTTTGTGAAACTTTAATCTTCAAGTGCTACACGACAGGTGTTTGTTTTTCAAAAAATGTTGTTCTTGTTGTAGTTTCATGTTTTGTGTTTGAAATGTTGTTTTACTTTTGCAGATTAAAAGAGATTTGAAGGGTGTTAAGGTGGAATTCGATCATCAAGGTCAAATCAGACGGCGCGTCAAGATCTCTGGATTTTCTTCCAAACCGCCTCATGACTTGAAGTATGCTTTATTCTATTGCTTAATGATTGTTTTTTCAGCATCATTGTTAAAGTTAAAGTAGTGGGTGTATCAAGCTGGCTTTAATCCACAGTGACAATTGACATGACTTTTTGAAGAATGCTGTACATTTTTCTATCATTATTCTATTGCTTATGTGGTACACAAATGTTAAAATGCAAATTTCTTTCTTGCATATGTTTTAATGCAAAATTTTCTTTTGAGAGAAGGTTTAAACTTGATGGAGGAGAGGAGACTTCTGTAGCCCAATACTTCAAGCAGAAATACAATATTGTACTCCGATATCCCATGTTGCCTGCCATTCAATCCGGCAGTGATGCCAAACCTGTATATTATCCAATGGAGGTACTCTTAGTTATCTCTTTTTCTGTACTCTTTTGTTCTTGATGTATCATGAGGTTTTGTATACCTTCTGCCTTAGGTTTGCCGAATTGTCAAGGGCCAGCGGTATACAAGAAAACTGAATGAAAGACAAGTAACTCAGTTACTAAGAGCAGCATGCAAACGTCCTGCTGAGAGGGAGACTTTGATTGGTGATGTAAGATTATAGTTTTTATTTATTTCAATGAATTTGTTTACGTATTGTTTCCCTATTTAGACATGGAATGCTTTCTTGCAGATACTCAAGAGGAATGATTATAACAAAGACGAACTAGTGAGGGAATTTGGAATGCAGTTAGTTCCTGAGCTTACTGCTATTGATGCACGCGTCCTTCCACCTCCAAAGGTAATTCCTTGGTTTATGTTGGCTTGATAATGTAGACTATTAAACTGACTTCCATATTTCTTTCTGTTACAGATAAAATATCATGAATCTGGGCGTGAATCTATAGTTGATCCTAGGGTTGGACAGTGGAACATGATAAATAAGGTTCCAGTTACTGTGTCTTATTATTATTATTTTTAGTATATTTTCATTGTTTTCCCCCATTTTTGGTTTTTGTTTTTATATTATTGCTCAGTTTATTTCTCCATGATTTTTTTTTTTTTTTTTTGGGTAATAATTTTGTACTATTCTTAAGGCTTTGCATTTTTTTCTTGAATTGTTATTCAGAAAATGGTTGATGCTGCGAGAGTGGAATTTTGGACATGTGTCAACTTTTCAAGGTGCAATGATCCAGATAGGTTTTGTGGAGAATTGCTTGAGATGTGCTGCACTAAAGGGATGGTATGCCTTGTTTTTATAGTTAAATTGCAATTACCTTTATTTCGAGAGTTACACAACATTGCTTGATGCCTTTTTTCTTTCTTAGGATTTTAATCCATCGGCAGTGGTTCGTATTCGTTCTGCTAATCCTAGACAAATTGAAAAGACTCTGATTGAAATTCATAACGAGTGCACTGCTAAAATTGCAAATATGAAGCCTGGTGGAAGTTTACAACTTCTAATAGTTATTCTTCCTGATGTTAGTGGGTCCTATGGTGAGCTACTGTCTATGTCAATTTGATTATATATGATTACTTAATCTAGTGTTGTACTGTTGTGCTTGACATTCTTTGGTTATATTGTGTTAATATAGGAAAGATCAAACGGATTTGTGAGACCGAGTTGGGAATTGTCTCGCAGTGCTGTCAACCTAGACAAGCATCTAAGTATGGTAACAAGCAATATCTTGAAAACGTCGCACTAAAGATAAATGTTAAGGTATGCTTTGCAGTCCCATAGAATTGTGTTCTGCTGCCCTTAATTAAGGTCAAAGGAATGCTTAACACCTGTTATATAGGTTGGTGGAAGAAACTGTTTTCTGGAGCTAGCTGTGCAGAGGAAAATACCTTACCTCACTGATCGTCCTACAATTATATTTGGGGCTGATGTTACTCATCCACAGCCCGGCGAGGACTCAAGTTCTTCAATTGCTGCGGTATGTTGCCAAGTTTTTTTTTTGTATTCATTATATTTTGTGTGTGCAACATTTGAGTTTGGCTTTTCCATCTTTATGAAGCTAAGGTCTTTTCTATATTTTTAGGTGGTTGCATCTATGGATTGGCCGCAAGTCACAAAGTATAGAGGGCTGGTTTCTGCACAGCCACATCGTGAAGAGATCATCCAGGGCCTTTATAAAACATATCAGGATCCACAAAGAGGATTGGTTCATAGTGGCATGATAAGGTACAGTCTTGTGTAAACTATATACAGTACTTAATCTGCCAATATTGAACTCCTCTCGTTTTTCCCTTTTGGACAACCACAGGGAGTTATTAATTGAGTTCAGAAAGTCGACAGGGCGTAAGCCAGAGAGAATCATCTTTTATAGGTTAGTTCTTGTCACATTGGCTTGGATGTTTCTTTGATCATGCCAAATGTTGTAATGACTATACTTATATGTAATTATCAGAGATGGAGTAAGCGAAGGTCAGTTCAGCCAAGTTTTGTTAGAAGAAATTGATGCAATTCGAAAGGTATGCAATTGTGTGTTTTTCTGTTTGTCCTATTCTGAGGTCCCTTCATTATCTATCTAGCTTTCAACTTTTGTTTTATTGTTCTGCTCAGGCATGCTGTTCGTTGGAGGCTGATTATCTCCCTCCAGTTACCTTTGTTGTGGTGCAGAAGAGGCATCACACCCGCTTGTTCCCTGTGAATCATGGGGATCGTAGAATGACAGATAAAAGTGGCAACATACTGCCAGGTTTGGATTGCTAATTTTATACTTAGAAAGTTCTTTGTACTGCCTATATGGATTACAACAATTTGTTTTGTTATTATTTTTATAATAATAATAATAATAATAATAATAATAATAATAAATAATGACAGGTACTGTGGTTGATACGAAGATTTGCCACCCGACCGAATTTGATTTCTACCTTTGCAGCCATGCTGGTATCCAGGTAAACTTTGCAATAAACCCATATATGCTGGTGGTTAGTGATTTTGCGATTATGTTTAAGACATCTCTTTATACATATATCTTTGGTTTCCATTCTTCTTTCCTCAGGGGACCAGCCGTCCTGCCCATTACCATGTGCTGTTTGACGAGAACAGATTCACTGCAGATGCCTTGCAGAACTTGACAAACTGCCTGTGTTACACGTAAGAGTTCTGAAACTCTATTTACACTAGAATGTTACATTATAATACTTGGAAGGTGGAATAATACTTAAATCATTAACTTTGTTTGCCCCAGATATGCTCGGTGCACTAAATCAGTCTCCATTGGTTAGTGTTTTCCTCTAATTTTCCTGGTCTTTACTCGATCTGGTGTTTTGTTTGATGATTAACAATTTGTTCATTTCTATGCAGTTCCACCTGCATATTATGCACATTTGGCTGCCTTTCGAGCTAGGTATTATGTTGAGGATGAAATATCAGATGGATCTTCTGGAAAGTCCGGTGGTGGCAGGGCTACAAGGGACAGGGATGCTAATGTTAAGCCATTGCCTATAATCAAGGACAATGTGAAGGCTGTTATGTTTTACTGCTGAAGAAAATACTTAGTTGTTTTACTGCTGAAGAAAAATACTTAGTTGTTTTGCTGTGGAAGAAAAGTACTTAATTGTTTTTTGCTATTCAACTTGGCTTTTGTTTAGTGCTGTTTTTTTTGCCATCTTGGAGATAGATATCCAAGGATAATTCAAACGTTGGTGTTTTGTCAGGCACAAAGTCAAGTTTGAAAACAAGAAAATTATTAACTTCTTGTGTTTTTGCGTATTTATTGTATTTACATATGGTAGATTTCACTTAAAACCATGTATTTCAATTTTGTTTATTTGAAATACGGAGAATTAGGTATTCTTATGGTGTTGCATTTGGAAATATTGAAATGTTTCCAATTCTTAATCTGAACTCAATAAAGTGCATGAACTTTAATCAAATAATGGACACCATTATCACTACAAAATTTCACTTTTAAAACTTTTAATCATTTTTAATAGTCTTTCTTTCTTTCTGGAAGGACATCAGCTTTTGCTAATAATTGCTTAGTATATTTATATTTATTTTGTTTGTTTCTTTTGATTTTTAACGTTAATTAATATTATTAATTTTGGTCTTCAAGTATTGATTTTTTGTTACTTTTGATTCTTATGTTAATTTATTATCAAGTACTCGATAATCATTTAAGATAAATTTTAAAATATAATTTTATCATCTAATCTAACTAAATATTCCAAAATTCAAAGAAAAAAAAGTCCTAAATCATGTCAAATCGTTTAAACATTTTTCATATCAAATTATTATTTATGTATTTCTTAATTTGAGGTGGTCTAATGATAATGAAATTATATTTTTATCTTTGTCTTAAATTACAACTGATAGAAAATTTATCAAAAGTAATTTTTTTTTTTTGAAAGCCAACAACTCATAATGCATTAACCATACCAGGCTAAAAAAAAGTAGGAAGATATCAATACTTTGAGAATTAAAATTAAACAATTATAGAAGTAATGATAAAAAAAATGAGAAAATCATTATAGAAGATTAAAAATAGTATTAACTCCTTTTTAAATTTCATTTATTATTTATTGAGTCATTTTAAATTTTAGTTTAATCAATATGAGTGTAAGTATGGTTGTCCATTTCTTCGTTATGGAACCTTCTATGCCAATTTCTTAGTACGTAAACTTTCATTCCATGCCTTAGGTCATTGTCTAAGGGTCCACGCGTTGGATCGATAATAATGATTCCTATATACCCATGAATCCCCAATCATTAGTATGTAGTGTCACAATTAACTATTATTGTCACATATCTATTGCGGAGTACAATTTTTATTATTTTAAAGTTAATTTAAGATAATTTGATTATTCACAATGATATAAAAAAAAATAATTTAATAGATTTGTTTAAAAATGATAGTTTTGTTTTTCTTTTTATTGTTATTATATTTATTATGTCATTTATAAATATATATTTTTAAAAGTATGGTCATAAGATTAAAAAAATTTTGTGTGTCGAGGAAAACATGTAATCACTATCCAAGGGTGTGTATTGAGTAAACTCGTCTTTTGACTCTAGTCGACAAAGGACCAGAAGGAGGTAAATCAACCTAAATGTGAAAACTATTTTTGGTATTTAATGAGAAAGTGTGTGTACGGATTCAAAACACAATAACGTTTGTGTAATAATAAAATTGTTTCTAACACCATTTCAATCAAACTCTTCGCACAAAGGTTTTTAGTATAATTTAACTCTTTTGTGTGACTTGAGTCAATTTTGTTTTCTTGGATCTTTTTCTTCCCCACCCTAGTGTACACTATGAATAAATATTTATCAAAATATGTATTACTAGTATTTGTCCTGTGCGATGCACGTCATAAAATTTAAGTACCTTTATAAAATCAAACATTAATCATGAAAATCATTCTGAAACATATTTTTCTTTAGCAATACAAAATCGAATTTTATATTGAACATCACAACATACTATCATATATGAAATAGGAAGGGAAAATTTTGTGGCCTTGGATTTTGCTTTATTATATATATATATATATATATATATATATATATATATATATATAGGCAAGATCAGGTGCGGCTGTACACTAAGGTGAGGCGGTGAGGTCATTTTCCATCCGTTGATCAAGTCCAATCCAACGCACCATAATTGAGATGATTTCGCGCTTCACTTAAAGATCACCGCGACATAGAGGGCAAAATTGTCCATTCGTTCAATTCGAACTGATCACTTCTCCACTTCTGCAAGTAAACACCCCGTCCCATCTTCCTATTCACAATCCCGAAGTCGCGAACTCTCTCCAACTTGCTCCTGCTCCGGCGACGAAAGCGAGGCGAACCACTGCAACGACGAGAAACTTCAACGACGAACAGCGAGGAGACTATAGCCGAACACACCACCGCGTTCTGAGAGGGACACGAACCGTCTTCTACAACACTGATTCGCTACAAAACACACAAATGGCGAACAAAGGCAAGCAACGAGCATGCAATGGTATATTTCGTTTATTATTAGTGTATTCTGTAATATTTTACTTCAATGTGTCAACTAACATGTTAACCCTACCATCGCTGTATTCTTTTGAACATTTCAGACTAGGGCATCACATTGCATGTTATTTGTGCATTATAAACATTAATGTAGTGTATATTTCGTTTATTATTGGTGTTTTCTGGTATTTGTGACATGAATATTGGTGAAAAAACTGTTGGGTGTTTAATTTTTGTACACAGTGCATATTTATCCTACCGTTGGTGTATTTCATATTATGAATTTGTTGTATCTCGTTACGTGTTGTCTGTCTATGATAAACATTACTGTGGTGTATATTTCGTTTATTATTGGTGTTTTCTGTAATGTATAACTAGAATACTGGTGAAAAATTTGTTGTGAGTTTATTTGTTGTACACTGTGCATATTTATCCTACAGTCGGTGTATTTTTGAGCATTACAGGCTGGGCATTTCATTACGTGTTGTTTTGTTTTATGGTGAACATCAATGTAGTGTATATATCATTTATTATTGGTGATTTATGGGATTTGGAACTTGAATATTGGTAAAGAATGTTGTGGTGTGTTTAATTTTTATGCATGGTGTATTTTTGTCCTACCATCTGTGTATTTCAGACAACAAGAGAAAGGCATTAGACCAAGGAGACTCGTCAAAGCCACGAAGGCATAGAAAACAAGAAGCAATGACATTCCTTGACAGAATAGAAGATGAAACAGAGACAGATGAAGAAGTGCATGAACAAGAAGTTGATGACAGCTCAAATGATGAAATAGATACATTGGAGCAAGAGAATGAAGATACTGACCTAAAGATAAGGCCACTGCCAACACAGCTAACAAAACCCATTAATGCCCTAACCAAACAACAACGCCAGAGTATAAAAGACATTGGGCTGTGAAGGATTCTTGACCTCAAAATCACAAACCTTCCAAGGAAACTGGGGATGTGGCTGGTTGAAAACTATGATGCAAGGAGCAACACATTGAATCTGCAAAATGGCCAAAAACTACAGATCACAGAAGAAGATGTTGCTGTAACATTGGGACTGCCGCTTGGAGACATAGAAATCACTAAGAGGGAAAGTAAAGCAGTATCTGATCTCCTGGCAGACTGGAGAAAAATCTTTGGAAGGGCTGACGGCCACATCACCCCACGCAAGATGGCTAAAAAAATGTTGACATTGAGAGCTGCTGACCCATGGTTCAAACGACATTTTGCACTACTTGTTATGAGTGTGTTGGTGGAGCCACAGATAAATGGTTATGTGAACCAAAGCTACATTGACAACTTGCGTCAAGTTGACAACATCAAGAGGCTCAATTGGTGTAGAATGCTGATCAATTCACTCACTGCAAGCAAAAAGGCATGGCTGGAGAGCTGTGATGGACAGTTTGGAGGTCCAACTGTTTTCCTAACGGTAAATAGACACTCAACAAGCTTGTAATTACTTTCACATCACCCTATGAATAATCTAAACTACCAAATGCAGGTATTCTATGTTGACCGTGTGGTGCTCTACCGGAGGTCTGTCCCCAGAAGCTACCCTGCCATGAATAGCTGGACATTTAAACTGCTCCGACAACGACAACAGGATGAGCTCAAGTCTGGAGGATTTGGATATGGACGCGTTGATATTGCCTTACCACTGGAGATCACAACACACTGTGAAGCCCCACCCCCACCCCCACCACAAGAAGAGACCCCACCACTGCCACAAGGATTACAGGTAACCCAACCACTGCAATGGTAATTGGTGCATTTTGTGTGTAATATGGTGCATTATCTGACTGTGGTGTATTTTTTATAAATATTTGGTGTATATTACAATATGTATTGATGTGTTTATACTATAGTGTTTCATGTACAGGAATTTGTTGATGAGATTACCACCCACACTAGGTCAATTGCACAGAGTCTGCTGAGAATATCAAAGCTAATTGAAAATGCACCTGCAGCAGTATTGGAGCATGATACATTCAAACAGATGTTTGAATCTGCTAGGCAAATGCTTGGATTCAGAGCACAAGATGATGGAAAACTGACCTTTACTCAACGAGAGGATGCCTACTGGAGTGACCCTGAGTTCTTGAAGGCAGTAGATGAGATTGTCCGTGCAGTAAAGAAGAGAAATTTTCTAAATGATATGCCATCTTTCAGCCTTGGATTGACACAAGATGAACAAAATAGACAATGGGCGGACGTGAATGATATTGCACGAGACTACAAAAACATTGATCAGGCTGCAGAAAATGAGGAAGTAGAGCTGAACATGAATGAGGGTGAAGAAGCATCTGAAGGACAACAAGATGGACAGAGTGCTGAACTAGATGCACCTGCTGATAACAATGATGAGGTAATGCACTGTATTAAATTGGCGACGTGACAAAAAGAAAAAAAAATTAAAATCTAAATGTTACAGGTCACACCGGCAGACCAAATTCAAGAGGGGCCTGCTTCAGATCCACCACCCCCACCCCAACCATTGGACAAAGGAAAGAGACCAGCTAGAAAATATGCAACTGATCTGGAACAGCCCAATCAGACCTAAGGCCCGAATATATGCAACTGATCTGGAAGCCCCAATAACTTCAATAGAGGAATCAATCAGACAATGGGTATTAGAAAATCCTAACCCAGAACTGTAAGCACAACACATTCTACTTGGTGTATTTCTAAGATATATTTGGTGCATTGTATAATAATATTGGTGTATAATTATCATATATTAACTAGTGCATTATTTGATAACTATTG